GGGCAGCGGCTCACACACCTGCGGGATGGACATGCACAACCGTGTGTGTGCAAGCAGCCGGCCATCCAACCCTCATCTCCAACGAACCAGCTCCATGCTGGACTCCAATGCCACCATGTCTGAGGTGGCACCTGGGTTGTTGGGACAGGGGACATCTCTGATACAAGGAAATGCTGGAGTTTAACCCTTTGATTCTGCCGTTACTGCCAACACACCACCACCCTGGCTTGGTCCTTCACCCAACGTTGGGGAGGACACCCCACCACCAGAAGACAGAGCCGCCACTGACCTGGCCATCTCTGAAGTAAATGCGATGGAGGGCTTCCACAGTAGTGGGAACGACCTTGCTGGTCTCACCAAGCTGCCCCAGGACACGGACCACCAGCTCCTGCCCTGCGCTGGGTGAGGGCTCCTCTTCCAGGGCCATGAGATCCATGAAGGGGTGACCTGTGGGTTGCCAGGTTAGGGGCCAGTGGGTGCATGGGACAGCAGGGACAGATTTATGAAGCAGGAGAGGGATACAGGTCAACAGGACAACACGGCAAGGGTGTCCCAACTCACCAGCAGCATCATAGAGCCGATAGATTGTCTTAGTCCCTGGGATCGTCATCTTCTCTTCATCTTCTGTGAGCTTCAGGCATGGAGAGCCATTGACCTCCACCAGCTGTAGGAGAAAAGTTGTGGAGATGGACACCTTATTTTTGTTGCTCATGCCAGTGCTGGGGACTGTGCTGAGCTCTGTATTTTCTGTCTGTCCCCACATGCTAGGGAGACCACTGATGCAAAGAGCTGAATAAATCATAACCACCACCCCCACCACCCCAAACCACCCCAAAGTTGGACATCCTGCCTCCTCCTACCTGCAAACTTCTTGTTACAGCAGTACCATGACCATTATTTCTGAGGAGGACAGAGAGATGGTGGGATCAAGTGCACCCTCAGCAAATTTGCAGATGACACCAGCTGAGTGGTACAGTTGATTCCCTTGAGGGAAGGGATGCCACCCAGTGGGACCCTGATGGGTGGGAAGAGTGGGCCCCTGTGACCCTCATGAAGTTCAACAAGATCAAGTGCAAGGTCCTGCACGTGGGTCAGGGCAATCCCCAGTAGCATCGAGAGCAGCCCTGTGGAGGAGGACTTGGCGATACTGGGGGGGGTGACAAACGGGACATGAGCCAGCAAGATGCGCTCACAGCCCAGAAAGCCACCCGTGTCCTGGGCTGCGTGTCCAGCAGCGTGAGCAGCAGGTCGAGGGAGGGGATTCTGCCCCTCTACTCCGCTCTGCTGAGACCCCCCTGCAGTGCTGCATCCAGCTCGGGGGTCCCCAGCACAAGAAGGACATGGAGCTGTTGGAGAGAGTCCAGAGGAGGCCACGGAGATGATCCGAGGGCTGGAGCACCTCTGCTCTGGAGACAGGCTGAGAGAGTTGGGGTGGTTCAGCCTGGAGAAGAGAAGGCTGCGGGTAGTCCTTAGAGCCCCTTCCAGTCCCTGCAGGGGCTCCAGGAAAGCTGGAGAGGGGCTGGTGACAAGGGCAGGGAGTGACAGGGCAGGGGGGAATCGCCTTAAACTAAAAAAGGGGAGATTTAGATTAAATATATAGAATAAATCATTCCCCGTGAGGGTGCTGAGGCCCTGGCACAGGGTGCCCAGAGAAGCTGTGGCTGGCCCTGGCTCCCTGGCAGTGTTCCAGGCCAGGTTGGATGGGGCTTTGGGCAACCTGGGCTAGTGGAGGGTGTCCCTGCCCATGGCAGGGGGGTGGAACTAGATGGTCTTTAAGGTCCCTTCCAACCCAAACCATCCTGTGATTTGATGTTGGTCTCACAGCAGCGTCTCTCAGGGCTGGAGCCCTTTTTGCTACTTAGCCCCAGCTGTGCAAAGCCTGGGAGAAGCCGGGGAGCCCCACGGCCCACGAGCCAAGCAGGGCAGAAAAACTGCCACCCCTACCTTGTAAACACAGCCCAGCGACGGCTGCAGGGGACACGTCACCAGGTTCGTCCCGACGCCGATCATGTTGATCTCGCTCCCCTGGTACAGCAGAGAAGACAGCGGCCATCAACAGCCCAGCCCAGCCACTGGATTTTAAGCACGTGCCAAAACCAGAGGCACAGGGCAGGTCAGAAGATGTCCACCTATCCCTCCCAAAACCCTTCTTCCCGTCTAGAACCTCTTCTCTGTTCTCAGGGAGAAAGTCCCAGGTGACGCTCATATCCAGCCACCCACCCACCTTGGTGGGGCCAGTGAAAGCCCAGGTGATGTCCCAGCCCTGACAGCAGGTACCTCACCTCCCGGCTGAACTCCTCCAGGCTCCGCTCGCTGATGTCGTTGCTGACGGCGATGGGAATCGTCTCAAACCATGGAACCTGGAAGCTGGAGAGGGGCAGGGGAGTGAGCAAGGAAGGGGCTGCAGGGTTTGGGGGGGGACCCCAGCTCCACTCGCAGCACCCCCTTGAGCCGCAAAGGCTCCTGCCCTGGCAGGACAAGGTGCTGAGTGACGAAGCTGGGGACCCGGTGGTGGCCAACCCAGACTTGGTGGGGGACTCACTGAGCACCGCAGGCTCGGAGCACTCGACGGATCTCCTTGGACTGCTGGGCCAGGTCCCCGCTGTCCAGGCGCACCCCGATGGCCCGGTACCCCAGTTGGTGCAGGGCCAGCGCCACGGCACAGAAGTTCGGCAAGCCGCTCCTGCCATGGGCGAGGAGAGGGTTAGTGTCCCTTGGCTGGTGGGACAGGGACCCAGGGCAGGTCCAGCAGCAGGTCCAAGCCTTGCATCCGGCAACAGCGAAGCGCAGGGATGCTGCCAGGTGGAAATGTCCCTGCTTCAAGGCCACCAAGCCAGGAGGGATACATCCGTCCCCTCTGCCACGGTGACAAAGCTACCCCAGGGGAACCCGGCATCCTCACCTCCTGGTGCAGTAGGTGTCCAGCAGCCCTTGGAAGTCACACGGGAAGGTGATGGCGTAGGACACAAAGGCGCCCAGCTCACCCCGGTTCGCCTTCTCAGGGGGAGTCTGCAGCAACTCGCACACCCGTCGCAGCCATGACTCAGCCAGGGCCGGGAGATCCACCGGTTTTCCTACTGCCAGCGGCAGCAGCTCACGGCCCGGGGGGGGGTCATTACACCCCCTGCGGCATCCCACGGAGCTGGGAGCGCAGCCACGGGCGGAGCATCTCATCCCCATCCCCTGCCCACGGTGACGCTCACCCGGGGCTGCACCTCCTCCAGCGAGGTGAAGGACATGATGAAGGAGTGGGCGATGGTGCCGCGCACTGGGATGCCGTAGAGCTTCCCCGCCAGGATGTTGCTGGTGCAGTCGAAGCCTGCGAGGAGGGACAGCGGGGGACACGGGTGACGGCGTGGCCGCAGTGCCGCGGGGTGCCGTGGAGCAGCACTCACCCCCGATGTAGGAGTACTTGGAGGCCGAAAGGGCACCGTCCGGCCCCTGAGCACGACGTAGTCCCATCTCCATCAGCTTCACGTTCGGGCCGGCAAGGAGCCGGAAGCGGGTGGCGTTCGTGGCCACCAGGCTGGGGGAGGAAGGGACAGGTCAGAGCAAGCCAGGCTGGGCATGAGGCCAGCACACTGCTAAGGTGGGAGGGGGGACACTCCAGGGCCCACTCCGCTCGACCACAGCCAACAGGCGAGGACATGGCGGGGACCACCACGGGACTTGGGAGGGTTTGGCACAGTGGTCAAACAGATGTGGTCCCCGGCAGCTGGTGGACCAAAGCAGGACATGTCCCTACCTGGCGTAGTTGACCAGGCACAGCAACATGGTCTCCAGCAGCTGCACCACCAGCAGCGGCCCCTTCACCTGCAGGAATGGGACCTGCCGGGACAGTCAGGCTGTGACATCTCTGTCCTCCTTGGGGACACACGTGCCAACAGCCCCAAAGCCCCTCTGAAACAGGGGAGGGTATGGAGCACGTCTCACCCTGGCAAAGACGACGGAGCCCTCCGGCACAGCAGACACTGTCACCTCTGAGGTGTCCAGGGTGGCCAGATAATCAAAGAAGGCGTCCTCTGTGGTGCTGGGCAGGACGGAGCGCAGGTAGGCAACAGCTGCAGGGGCAGAGCTCAGCGGGCACCGGGCTGGGTGGTGTCCCGAGCCACGAGTCCCATGGCACAGGTCAGGCTGGAGGGACCGAGCCTCACCGTGCTGGGGATGGGTGACAGCTTGCGGGCAGGGGGCACCTCACAGTCGCCCACCCCAGAGAGAGAGAGAGAGAGAGACGGTGAGGTAGGAGGTACCCCAGCCCTGCGAGGGTACCACGGCCCCCAGGTTCCCTCTGAGGAATTGTCCATGGGAGGACTGTCCTC